AACTTCTTTAAAGATTAAATGTCAGGAATACTTGGTCAATAAATTACAAAAATAGCTCTATGGAGTAAAATTAAAAAAATATCCTTGCACTGTAAAAAGATCAAGATTGCGCCTGAAGATGAAAAATAAACCAGAAAGGATATACTTGACCAAATTACCAGAAAAAGTGCATATGTTTGGATTGAAAAGAATTATTGAAATGTCATCAAGCTATGAAATAACTAAAACAACCTCTGACATTTAAATGATTGAAATACCACTAAACCCTAAAAGAATTGAAATACCTTTAATTCTAAGATGACCGGAGTAACCTCGAGTATTGAAGTGACCTAAATATCCTAACTTGGAATAAGTGAATGCATTTGGATAAATTCTAGAAACACCAATAAACTTAAATTTTGTATCATCCCTAAAGGTTATGGAGCATAACTCAAGTATGCTGACTATTCTTGATACTAATACATCACATAAATATATAATACCATCGAATACTTGATTGTCTCCTTTAGTTTCGTTCAGTGGTGATTCTGAAAGTTACCAATTCAACCAGTGTATTGAATATTAAGAAGTGATTATTCGTGAAGTATATCAGTCCGAATTATTGAAAAGTTTTTCAAGGTGGAGATCAGTTAGTACGATTTGACTCGAAATCATGATAATTCGATATAAATTCAGAATAATGCAAATTAACATTTTACCCTTATTGGATTAAGTTATTAAGAATCCATTAGAAATTAAAATGTCTGAAATACCCCTATTTGCCTGAAAAATGGAAATACTCATGTTATATCTAGATCTTTAATAATTCTGATGTAAAGGTTCATGAGTACCTTTTTAATACACTCGAATCTTAAATGATTTTTGAAACATCAATTTCTGAATGTTATTAGATCTACTAATGAACTAACCCTTTTTATAGAGACATCAATTCTGAATTACATCCAAACTACAGAAGTGATATATTTTTCCTTCTTGGTAATGATCAATTGCCTCCAAAAAATAACTGAATCTTCTAGTGTATTCCCTATATGCTACCTAACAGTTTTATTTGTATTGAAATTATAAATAGGTATCTAGTTGATTTGCGATTGTTTTTACTGATTCATATAATGATTTATTGGTTACTTGTTTTACTGGAAAAATAAAATATGCGTGTAGTATGGATCATAAAACTACTAGTTACTAGAATTGATTTATTGGGACACTATTTGGGTAGGCTGGAGTATGGAGGTTCAACTTTGATCAAGCTGGTAATTCCTTACGGACCTAAGGTGATCTTGGGTAGGCTCTCAGGCCCCAAGGCATTCCCTTAGGTTGGCTCTTAGGTCCATTGGGCCTAGGGTAAATCCTTATAGATGTAGTTTTGGGGAATTGCATATGGTGTACGAGTGGAGGGCAATTATGTGATTTAAATAACTACATAGTCATTTTTACAATATTCTATTGGATCATGATTTTGATATTATAGGGTATTGCTCAATTTGATTTCTACTGGATACTGTATGGGTAGGAGTCTAGAGTACGAAGGTTCAGATCTGTTCAAGCTGGTAAAACTTTACTGACCTAAGGTGACCCTTGGGTAGGCTCATAGGCCCCAAGGTACTCCCTTACGGTGGTTCCTTTGCTTTGTGCTTAAGGTAAGCCCTTATAGATGCAGTTATGAGGGACTGCATATGAATTATTCGGATGAAGGGTATTACAATGATTTTAAAACATGTTTTACTAAAATAAACTACTATTGATTTTAAACTATGATTTCATTTATTCTAGTTTTGAGGGAACAAACTAGACTCTTCATCTCAATCTCCTGAGTCTCTCCCTGAATATTTCCTTCATATTTTCGATTTCCTGACTGTTACCTGAAGAAATGATTAATGAAATCTGAGCTCGTCGGTAGAACATGATGATGTTTGTATCGTTAAGAAAATTCATGCTTTACTTATACTCGATGGCCTATTGCATGCATCTAGTAGTTTTGTATTACTAAGCTTCTCAAAGCTCACTTGTTACTCACTATTTCAGGTTAAAAGAACTGATCCAATGCATTTATCAACTTCATTATTGGGAGTTCCTTCGGCTTTGCTTGCAGAGTACGATACAATGTGTAATTAGGGGGCATGCAGGTCACATTTAATTTTTTTTATATATACCGAGTACGGAACTTGTATGATTTTAATTCTGTTTGTAAGATATGAATGATTTTCTGAACTTGTGTTTTATTTATAAATTGTTTTATGATTTTACACGTTTTAACAAAAAAAATTAAATTTTTCCTAAATTTTTACTGTGTTCCTCCAGCGACCCTAATATAACACCTCATATCGGATTGGGTCACCGCATCTGCATGAGAGTGTTTAAGTCTTGATGTATTTGGAGTGTTCCTTTGGTTACTACAAAACCCTTTTGCATAAACATGTTTAATTTCTTGTGATGATCTTGTAAATGATCTGACTACGCAAGGCAGAGATACGATTGACCAATGACTGAGTGCCGTGGATTCTCAAAATCTTCCTTCCCACGAGTTCTTGTTCCCCAGAGCGTAAAATTTTATAACAAGTTATTAAACAGATGACGGGTAACAATTTTCAAAATGACCACACTTTAAAAAAATGAACAATTAAGATCGTAAAGGAATTTTAGTTTATATATAAACACAAATATGAAATAGATGAAATATTTTCTTAATAAATGTAAACCAGAATATTAACATCATTTTTTTTTTAATTTTAACATCACAATTTATTTGTTAAACTCTGCTACTTGCTATATTTATAATTATCCATATAAAACTCTTTTTTATTTGATTATGCAATTATTTTCATACTAAATAAATATAATTATTTATATATAATAAATACAATAATATTATATTAATAATAATTTTAACTAAAATTTTATATAAAACCTTAAATCAAAATTTATAAATTTAGCCGATGAAATGTTAAATTTATTCATATTATTGTTATTATAACGTCTTGAAAACTATTAATTTTTTTTCGTTGTTCTCCCAAATTCAAGGCTTCGCCTTGATTAATCTGGATTAACCCGTGTCGCACACCTGATTTGGGTAGATGAGTCTCCTAGTAGATATTTTCTACATACACAATGACTCGAACTTAAGCGATTGTTTAAGCGATATCAACTTTCTTACCACTTGAAACAACTTCGTTGGTTTGAAAGCTATTAATTTGAGTATAATATTTAAGCATTAAAGAATTATAAAAAAATTAGGTTTTTACATTAAAATATATAAAATTTTATAGGGAAAAAATAATTCAAGCTTCGATTACGGCCATAAACAAGATTAGCAAATCATGAGATTGATTATTTTAAGTACAAATATCCCCATTATTGTAATGAATGAAAACTAGGCTGATGGTGATAAATATAGTAATTAACTTTGATGAAAATAATAGCCCATTATGATCTTTAAAAAAAAAACTAGGGTTCGTTGCACGTGGCAAACATCCAAGTGAGGTGGGACCCAACACTTGGTGGCTACGAAGCGGAGATCCTTTCCTTGGCTGGTCCCAACAAAAAAATTCTATGGTACCATGTGTAAGATCGTGCAGATTCAACCAATTTTAAAAGTGACAATTAAGGGTCCACGACACATTATTATATCATATAGTAATTTTTATAATGTAAAAAATACTCAAAGTTAGGAAGACTTTGGTTTTTATTTTTTAATTTTTGTGTGCAAACTTAGAAGGGAAATGATTAGGAAATTTTGGTTACACTTGGAGGCAGGGGTAGCTTCATGTCTATCTTTTTTTTTAGAAATAAAAAAAAAGGTTCAATGATTAAGCAATCAATCAAAGAAAATTCCAATTTACATTGCACTTGCATGAAATGTCATGGAGGCCGCTTAATCATGGCGATGATGGACCTCTTGTGTTTGTCTACGAGGTCATCCCAGGCGTTGATATTATTGAATTATGGGAACATAAGGAGATTAACACGTGGAATTAATCATGTCTAAAACGACAATAGTTTTTCCATATATATTAGCATGAGGTGCTAAGGTGTATTTTTGAATTTATTGTTCATATTTTATCTTAATTAATAGTGTGGACCGATTAAACCGTGGAAAGTTAAAGAAGAGATGATCGCATGATTGTGTAATTAAATTAAAATTATTAATAAATATACTAGTAAAAAGGAATAAATAAAATAATTTGATTAAATTCTGAAATTCCATGGTTTTGTGTTAATATATAAGGCAAATATTATTTATTTGACTTGTTTTACAATTTTGACCTGCTAATCGATGAATACGCAGTGTTGCCATTTTGATAGTATATTATGGAATTCGATCATAATTGGTCTGGTGAGGTGAAATATAAAGTGCAGAAAACGAGCTTTCGTGGCCATTTCATGGGGTCTTTTCTCCTCCTTGGTTTATCTTTAACGTCTACAATTAAAAATGATTGTAATTCGTGACTAGGATTATATTATAATTTAATATTAAAAAATGAGCCCAAGTTTACCAGTTGTTGGCTCATGCTGATCTATTAAGAACATAATTAAGATTATTTAAAGTATTATCTAGATTCAATTTAATAAGATAAGAGGAATTATTTGCAATGATTGCTTCACATTAAGAAAATATCATTTCAATTCCAATTTTTGAATACAAATATAATCTTATTTTTTATATATAAAAGCTTACTATTATATTTATGAATACCCAAGGCATCATCCAAAGTTTAAATATGAAATGTAATCTTATTTTTTTTATATAAAAGCTTACTATTATATTTATCAACTCTCTCAAAACCTTGTTGACGTTAGTGTTTTAGTTAAATAGATCATGTAATTATTGATAAAAACATATTTGTTGGTAATAGTTCATTAGATGATAAGAAAGGTAGTAGGGTATAATAAGTAAATACATCGGAATGGTAGGAGATATTTGCGATTTGGAATTGTGGTGGAGGTAGTTCAATTATTTGCCAACTTAGTTGGGACCCTATAAAAGGCCGCTTTGTGCCTTGGAACTTCTCTTACTACAATTCCTTAATCCTAATCCCCCAGCCTTGCCCTTCGAGTCTCCTCTTTCTCTCCCACTCTCTCGTCCTAGCTAATAGTCATCAGAGATGACTGCAAATGTAATGGAAAATCCAGTCAAATCCCAGAAATCAAAAACCTATCGAAAGGTGGTGGCGCCCTTTGCCTTTCTTTTCTCCATTGTGGTTTATGCCTCTATCTTCTATGTCTTCAGTTTTTCTCCTTCCACTCTTTTTAACGACAATAAGTTTTGGTTCGTCATTTCCAACACTCTTATCCTCATCATCGCCGCTGATTACGGTGCTTTCTCCTCGTCAAAAGATCAGAAACGTGACTTTTACGAGGATTACGAGTTGCACAGCCAAGCAACGAGGAGAACCACCACCACCGCTGCTGCTGCTTCGTTTGTTTCTCAATACTCCGAAATTGCGAAAAAGAGCCTTCCCATGGAAGAAGAGACTACTTGGAAAGACAAGTATAAAGAAGATTACCATGTAACTCAAACGAATAACGAAATCCCAGAAAAGATATTGGAAGTTGTCGAAATCGAACCTCGAATTGACAATTTCCAAGCCAAGAGTACTACCCAGAAGCAGGAAGTAGCAGCTCCCATGAAAGTAGTCGCTGATAATGTTACTTGTTGTCATCACCGGGTAATAAAAAAGAAGAAGACAGAACCAAAAACTATCCAACGGAGCAAGTCCGACAGAGTAAAACATGTTAAAGCACTTAACGATAAGAAGGGTGTTCTACATCGATCCAAGACGGAAAAGCAGCACGACGAACCAAGTGCCACAGACGACGAGTTTTCCATCATGTCCAATGAGGAACTAAACATGAGAGTCGAGGAGTTCATTGAGAGGTTCAACAGAGAAATTAGGCTTCAAGGTGTCAGAAACAGACAAGTTTTGGAATCCGAATAGACTAAAAAAAAAAAAGAAATTGTGATAGTTATTACAGAATTTGTGTCTCCTTGGTTATGGTTTTGATTGAGGGGGTGCGTGTGTCTTCCCAGTAGAAAGTTGTACGGTAGGCGGTCGGTGTAAATGGTTTGGACTTTAGTAGGAAGTGTTTATGGAGTTATCATTTTCAGTTGTCATTCAACCATTTTAGTTTTCAAAAATGCTTCCTTGTAATTTAGCCATCTCTTTGTATCTGTTCAATTCATCAACTAAGATGCATAAAACCTAGGTGGCATAAAACTGGTATCATTTTGCCTTTATATTTTCGAGTCCGGTACGCTGTACTATCATAATAAATACATTTCTATCTTCGGATTCAAGATGAAAAATAGCCACGATGGATCAACGATTTACAGAGCAAATTCTTAAAAATTTTCAGTATGTTTTCTCTCTCTTAAATTGCGAGTTTAATACAATTAGAAGTAAAATTATTTATTCTCCTCCCTTAGGTAAAAATTGCTAAAAAAATAAAATACCGACGAATTAATTAAGATGACACTTATTTGTTATCATAATGATCTTCCCTGCTTTGGACCATCGAATTGAATGTGAATACGCAATTTGCATTCGTGGATAGTTTTTTTTCACGTCGTTCGACTTTGATTTGCGGTTTATTTGTCGATGAGGTTAGGGTTGTTCGTATTTATCGTTTGTTCGAGTTTATTTAGTTAGGTTTTTTAACATTTTCCTTGTATGGTCGTTGTGTGATTTTAAGTGACTAATTTTATTGTGTTAATGATTATAAGAAAATATCTTTATTATGAGTTTAGTTTACTATTACGGTTATAAACCTTTATTGTAAATTGAATATTTTATATTTTTAAAGAAACTAAAGACTTTTATCCAAGAAGAAAAATAACTTTAAAAAAAACAGTAATCTTACAATTCATAAATGGTAACTTTGTGCTATTAATAGAAAAATAGAATCTTAATTTCAGTTATCAAAATTCTATATATATGTTCACTTTGATCTAAGATTTCAGAATTCAGAGTAAATGATTGCATAGAATAATTCATGTTATGTCAACGTTAAAATAATATAGCAACCATAAACACGATTCACATATGGACGTATACACGAACACCAAATCCTCATTATTGATAATATCATAAGTTGAGTCGACTTCAAAGGTGTGTTATTTCTTTTTCTAGTATTGTAATTATCACATAGTTAACCAGTCCTAACTTTTTGACAAAAGAATTGGATTTTAACCATTTGAAACTATTTGCCAAACAATTAGGTCAGTTTCTAATCGTTTTTATTAACGTTTACAATATATATAAGTCTGAGTATTCATAAAGATGTGAGGAAACACGAAAGGATATCGAGAAATTGGGAAGCCAATTTGAATCATCAAATACAATGTTTTTTTTTCATAAGATTGTGTACAGCACACGGACAATGATATATAACAATCGAATAGAGAAATACGTAGCGTATTTTTTTATATAATTTATTAATTACGAAAAAGACAATTGAGGAGGAAAGCAATCCATCTGTTGGCCAAACGTAGGTCTAAACATTAGAACAAGTCTTCATTAATTAATTGTTTCCATTACAGCTATCCAAAGTGAGACAGGGAAGTGAAGGTTTGCCCGTGTCGTGAAACCATATAAATCTATCATTGATTCGATTTGAGGGATACATTCTACAAAGATAAATGCAAGTTATTTAATTCCCTTCACCATTAATTCAGAGTAAAAATTAAATATATTGTGCAGTCAAAGTAGAGAAGTGAATCATTGTCTTACAGTAAGAACATGCAGCCGACCGTTTCCTCTAGACTCTTTATTTTTCTAACTCAAAATTGGCCCTCTGATCGTGACGTTCATAGGGTTGGAAATCTTTTACATCAAATAATTGAGAACAAATCGGCCATTTCTGCTCCTATAATACGGGGAAATATCAATTCAGCTGCTAAATAATTTATTTTAATATTTAATATGTTTTAGAGGAATGTTATCTAGTATTTAATGACCCTGATTATATATCCAAATAAATAAAAGTATTTTTTTCAAATCATTTAAGTGTGGGTACAAACGTATTTAGTAATTATTATGGCAGAATATTTTGTCCTATTACTTGGTGTAATTTTAGTAAGAAAATGAAAGGTGAAAGAAAGAGAGACGAAGGCACTTTAGGTTTTGGCCCTCACCTTTTAACACCACCAGTGGATTTAGACTCATGCTTGGTGCGGTATATTTTTTTTAAAATATTTCTCCCTATAGCTCTAATTATTTAATTTTAAGCTTGCTTCCTCTTAAAAGAAACACTTGAATCTCACTCTCCTCTTGCCTGCTGGAGTCGTAGTGAAATTGAAGAAACTAATATTAATGAGCTAATCTAATACCGTGGCAAGATTCGAGAAAAGTCTAGTGAATGTAAATTAGCCACGTGTGTCCTAGCTGTCGCCATTCTGCACCACATATGTAAAAGATATTTGAATTGTAGTAATAATATTTTAGGAATTTTAAATTATATATTAATGATCATGTCGATGGATTTGGCAGGCCGATTGTCCCTTTGCTGTCGTTTTGATGAAGTGAATCATTTTACTTCCTTGATTCAGATAACTTCATGGCATGCACTATAATTTTGAGTACTACACAAACATTTTAGAAAACAAAATCCGAGGAATCTTATTAATCAGATGAAAGGGCAGTTGGTCAAGGGTGAATATAATAGAAACAATAATGATAAGTAAAATTTGCAGGTAGACACCAAAAACAGAATGTAATGATGGTTGTATTGAAAACTTTTTTGGCGTTGGAAGAGCCTGTGTATTGCTGCTGATTAACACATGTTGAAACAAAGAATAATGCATATATGTATGTTATGTTTTCCTTGATTTGGAAGCTGGCAGTCAACTAGTTTTCACAACCAATAGTTCAATGTTTCAATTCCTTGATTTGGTGATCAAACCTCACACGTATTTGCACTTGCATGCCACCGTGTCCCCTTTGTTTCGTCTTTCTATCGGGGCCATTATCGAACAGCTCGATCATTAAAACTTTTTATAATTTAGGGTTTAAAGGATGCAGTTTGTCTCGAGACGAGATCCAATCTCCGAAAACGTATTCATGTTTCAATGTGTTAGTGCTTAGCAATCACTGGGCAAATCATTAATAAAGTAAAACACGTAGCAAACACATGGGTGTAATTTGTCGGAAAACAACTTCCAATTCTTTGAATAGGAAAAACACACTTCACACCGATGACACGATGGAAAAACTAAAATACATGATAATATTTCAAATTTAATTCCAGATAAAGTCTCAAAATCGAAATTTTAGAATTTTAGATTTATTTTTTATATAACATTAATTAAATACATACATATATATTTCAAATACATAGTTAATATTTAATAAAAAAATTATAGTTTAAAATATAAAAACGTGATTTTATCAAATTCATACTAGGAATTTCAAATTCATTAATAAAAAGGTTCAAGGCTGAGAGACTTCTTGTCTCATCTAATACATATATATTTCAAATATGTTTTTTTATGGACAACAACTTATTTTTCAAAACTTTTACTTCACAGGTTAATAAATCAATTTTATATTTAATTCATATAATACATTATAAATTAACATGTTCAAAAAAAATTATAAATTAAGACATTGATATCGAGGTTTACTTCTAATCTGGATTCTCGTATATGTAGAGTTTGAAAAGCTAATATATTTTTTACAGGATGGATTTTTAGATGCTACTGTCTAGAGGAGCTTGTTTGCCGCCAAACAGTGTGAAACAAATAGTTGAACTTGGACAGTGCATGAAGCATGAATTTGAATTACTTTGATTATCAAAGCTGTTTTTTTTAATCAGATATGTCAAATTCTCGTTGAAAATCAGGCAAACATCAACACATCATTGCTCAGGATGGTGATAAGTGTTCAGTTTCCATCTAGCTCTACGACAGGAAAAGGGAAAGAACGGCAGATTAATCTCGCCTTTTTTCATAATGCTCAGGAGGGTCTTGAGATCCATGCTTCAGGCAATGTGCTCCGCCAACGTGAGGATCTTTACATGCTTTTTCTGCCTCAGCTCATGTGGGACTGGACCGAAAACTCTGGTCCCTATCGGCTGACCTTGCTTGTCAACAAGAACAACTGCATTGTCATCAAACTTCACCTCACTCCCGTCACAACGGCCTCGCTGCATGGCAGCACGCACAACGACACCATATACCACCTTCCCTTTTTTCACCTTTCCGTTAGGCATGGCCTCCTTTACAGATGCAATTATGGTGTCTCCCAATCTTGCCCCTTTTTTCCCCTTCAACGGTTGTATGCACATGACCTTTTTTGCCCCCGAGTTGTCCACTACTTTAAGAACAGTTCTCATCTGTATAAAAGTCCTTTGTTGCTGCAGAATTAAACCAAATAATAAGGTTACCTTTGAAAGAGAATATCACAAATTCAACCATCATAGAACCATACAGGTATTGTCCGAACATTGAACAAAATCTGAACACACTGACATCAAGCTGCAAGAACAGTTATCCTATTCAAATAAGCTATGTGAATCCTAACACGAGATTCTTAATACAGATTCCATTAACAATAGGTACAACTCCTTTCAAAACCACTGAAATTACATTTAATTAGTTCAGGCCACCATCCCCTAGGTCCAATATGCAGGTCTTTCAAAAGCTGACTAGGGTTCTTACCATCTTTGATGCTTAACCAGCAAGTAAAAAGCAGGGGAAAGTTCACCCCAAACTTGATGCTGATTAAAAATGCCTATCTCCTTGAACCATTTAGGTTAACAAGGCATGCATGGCTCGGAATTTTATCCGACCAAAAATGACATCCTGACCAACCTTTTCAAACTTGTTTCCACAGGCTTGTCTATTCCCAGAAGTTTGAGGAGCTTATCCTAATTTTCCAAGGATAACATATCAAGAATTAACACCAGCATGCACTCCATGCGAATGATTTCACAGATCATAATACAAGCTTAAAAGAAACATCATGCTAGAAATCACACTGACCTGATACAGGAAACTGCCACATATAGTCTCTCTTGATGTGCTCGGTAAATTAGGGAAGTTGTTTCGAAGGCCATCCATCAACGAACGGCCCACTGCATATACCATAGTGTCAAACAAAAGATAGAGAAACAAGACTGGATACAAAATGAACTATGTAAATGGAGATGGAGGTGTTTAAATCTTATGGTACATCAATTGTAGGATGAACAAAATGAACTACGCACTTATCCAGAAGATGAAAACGTGGAAAGGGAGGGGGGTTGAAGCATGATAGGACGGACAAATCCATATTCACAGGCAACTCAACCTAAAATGCTACACAAAGAGACTTATTAGTTGTGAAACCAAGAATTAGAGGCTTCTTAAAGCTATGCTCATCGAATGAAGCATAAATGGCTTAAAGAATCAGAAAACACAGTGGGAAAAGGTCAAAACATTAAATTGTAGACAAAATACAAAATGCAAATGACTTCCAGGTGGAGATGAGCAATAACTCACACTACGGACCCTAGCTATGTGTTAAAACCCAAACCCCTCCAAAAAGAAACTATGAAATTCCAAGACTGGATAGTTAAAATCCTTCAGTTATTTTGGCCCAAACATATAGCTAACTACAGGGATTTTCTATACATCAATCGAAGGAAAACCTCTGCAAGAAAAACTAAAACTTCATGCATATTGGTATAGGTTGAATCGGAATGCTTTGTATGCTGAGTGTTCATAAATCCGCAAGTGCCCATTAACAGAGAGAAGGGAAAATATAAACCCTTAAAAAAAACTAACAAACACTCATGTGAACAAAATCACAACATACCCCTGGAGCATCTGGAAGCAAAGCTTGCAGCCATCTTCTTCTTACTTAATTCGCCAACTTTTTACAAGGGAAGAAGGGAAATGACTGAAACTTAGAACCCTAAGAACTTAGGAGTTAGGACTTGAGAGCATGAGGAGACGATTGGGTTTGGGCTCAAGCTAAAATAGGCCTAGCCCAACATATTATATGCGCCTCAAATAAAAGTTTATCTTCTTTTTATTTTTGTCTGAACATTCATTCTTGAATTTTTTTTTTATTTTCTTCAATAGTTATATAGCATATAAAAGTTTGACCGATACACTAATCTCCTTAGGAGAACAAGTGTATCTATATTAATTTAAAAATATATATTTGTTAAATATGTTAAGGGGAAAAAAGAAAATTTTTATATCTAATATTTTAAAAATATGATATATACTAAACTTTTGGAATGTATTTTTGATTTTTTTTTAAATCGGTCAATGATATCAACAAATGATTGGTAGAAAACAACCAACGCATCTATTATTTATGCATGCATTAAACAAATAAATTAGGTGTATATTTGAAAGAATGAGTTATTGATATAAAACGTCGGTATGGGAAATGCTCACATACGACAGTCTTAATGTAAGGTTAAAATAAGACGCTATCAGTTTTGTTATTGTTTAAATAACAAATTCAGTAAAAAATGATCGGAAACATTATTAGGCGTTAAAAAATGATCGGTTTTGTTATTATTGGGCTATTAACCGGATTTTCGAAAACTGACCGGAAACATTATTAGGCGCTAAAAAATGACCAGAAATGTTAAAAAAATGATGTTTAAGGTAAAAATAATAATATTACCAGTAATTTTTTATTGATTTTATTATTTAAATAATAATAAAATCGATAGTGTCTTATTTTAATCTTATATTAAAGTGTCTCTATGTAGAAGTGCCCCGTGGGCATGCAGTTCAGAGTAAAAGCAAAGAACGAAGAAACTATATAAATTTTCCCACATCTGAAACCAGGGTGTCTCAGTGTGGTGTTCAGTGTTGACCCGGAAAATAGGTAGGTAAAGAGAGAAAATATTCAGTACCAAACCAACACGGTACATAGAGGTGATGGCTGAAAAAAAGAGCTGTAAAAACTTGAACAGAAAGTGAAACCCCTGAAGTTAAAGGAAGCTCAAAGCTCTCAATGTTATTGCTGTTTAATTATTTCCCCAGACAGTGACGGTTGCAGTGGATAGACAGACTCATCAAATACAAATCCACTCTGTTTTCGTTTTCAGCTTCTGGCATCGACAGGTCGGCCAAATGCATTAATCCTTGATAGATTGCACGCCCTCCCTCCCTTTTCACCACGACACGTGCCTTCGCTTCTTACCCTCTATGCACTCTGCACTCCCTAAAACAAACAACCAACCCTCTCTGGAACAACTCAAATCACTTTACTTTTCCAAGTTCCCCATGTACCATTTTCAAATTTATTTTATATTTGTCAAAACTAAATCATAATAATAAAAAAGAAATTATGAAGAATATTAGAGAAAGTGTGCGGTGATTACATTCAGGTTTGGCTTCTTTTTACCCGGCAAGTGATGAAACCTTGGACAGCGAGAACACGTCTTCGGGTATGATTGTTTTTCTTTGCATCTAAATAATATACAAAATCATCAAATCCAACACCAACGCATGTGATTCTTCCTCTGTTGCCTTTGCTACCCATCAGGTTTATATATATATATATATGGGGTTCGTACTCAGTGCATAAATAATGGAGACCATCATCTTTGAGAGATGGAGAAAGGATTGCTTTTGCTTTTACTTATTGGATTCAATGGAACACATTATAATATATATTATCTCTGTCTTTGGTTTTATGCACTTTCAACTTATTGGAGCATCCCCTCCCCAGTTAAGGCCATCTCTCACGTTTTAAATGGTTCGTTTTTAGTGGGTTGCTCTTGCTTTTCTTATTTTCAGTTATTATATAATTGAGATTTGAATATCGAAATTCAATTTAAATTCTCAATTACTTAATTACTTGATCTAGTGGGATGAGACACTAGATACTTTAAGTAATGTTAGAGATTTGAATCATGGTGTTTATGAATAGAGTAATTTGAATTGAGACGGTCGTCCTCGACTCTACAATACTCAATCTGAATTAGTCGATCAATAGATCGAGCACCGATAATTAACAAATTTCTCATAAGAAGTTTATTATTAGGTCAATAAATAAGGTAACAAATCATACTATATTAACATGAATCTAATAATATTTTTTTATCTTTCAGTTTTTTTTCAAATCATTTTACTTTAATTTTTATTTTATCTTTTTGGGTATTCTCTGGCCTTTGAAATTTATAAAAGGAGCTTGATAAAAAGAGCTTAATAATCAAGCAGGAGCTTCAAAATGGGGGGCGGGTGGATAATCATTTCTACGTCTATAGCTAACGTGAGATTATTTCCGATGGAGATGACAGTTGTTTTTAAATCGTGTAAGATTTTTTTAATAGTATAAGATGATTATAATATAATATTTATTTTTAAATTAATTAATAACATATATCATTATAAATGTAATTATTTGAATTTATTTTTTTTAAATATAATATTTATTTTTACCAATAGATGGATTCGGATGGAGATGATAATTAGAACTTAACATATAAAAATAAATGGATTCGGATGGAGGTGATAATTAAAACTTAACATATAAAAATTGGAAAAATAGACTCATTACGTCTTGACTACTCTTTTTTATACCTTTTACAGTATATTAATATTTGATCTTTGATATTTTTTTAATTTAATCTTTAAATTTTATTTTATTCGTATTAATTGTATGTTTTAACAATTCTTTTGGATTTGATTTTAAAATTAATTTTTAAATTTTTAAATACTATGAGATTACGTAATTTTTCACATAAAAGAATTAAAATATACAAAACCTAACTTAAAAGATTTATATATATATATATGTATATATATATGGGGTGATGAAGAAATGTTAGTAGCATATGTGTTTACTTATATTTATATATATATATATTATAGGTTTAGGATTCACTTACACCTAGTGTAAAACTAAAAGTTTTATATTTTTTTATGATCATTGGATGAGGGGAAATCAAAGGCTGAGATTAACTCCTTGTTTTTTTCTTCCTGTGAATATCTTCACATTTCCTACTATTAATCTCTGTCTTTAATTTTTCCTTATCCAACTATCCTAAAAAAGTTTAAAACTAAAAAGTTTTACACTATATAATTGGATCATACCCCATATATATATATATAATTGAAATTTGAGTTCAAACAATCAAGTTTAAAATTGAATATAAAAGTCAAATTTTTATTAAGAAAAAAAAGAGTTTAAATTAATTTATAAATCGTAAGTTTGAAATTTACTTAAAGTGAAAATCCTCGTTATTCGAATTCAATTCCACTCCGATGATGGTGGTGGTGGTGCTATTTTGGTTGCCAGCGAAGATACAATGTTATTTATAACAATAAATTAGCAATAATAATGTTGCTAATTATAATAAATAAATAAATAAATAATGAATAAATAGTGGTTGGAGGATAATGAGACACATCATTCCTCGTACGGACCGAGTATTAGTATATACATATTTTTTACAAATAAAGCATTGTTTGAACAGTGAGAAAAACAAAATCTCAAATCCTCAATGTCTTCAAACTTTCTGCTTTAAAAATGTTTGTATCCGGTTGAAGTGACCCCATTAACATCTTCCTTTACTATCTTTAGTGACTTAAGTTCTCAACTTGACATTTGGTTGAGCCGGTAATTATGACATTTGCTTTGCTGCTCTACTTTCTATCTTGCTAAACATTAACCCTTTAATCTTACTATAATTACTAATTAAGTGACCACTTAAGATTTAAGGTTTTAATATTCAGCGGATATCTATGAATAGTAAATAACATGTTATATAATAATTACTTATATCTTGTTTACATTTAATAAATTATTTTAGTAATTCAACCTCAATATGTATCAATGAAGATTCAAGGGCAATGATCTTCTGACTGTAAGAAGTCTAGATTGATCAAATTATTCATCTTTGTTCTCTCATTTTTTTTAAGTCATGAATTTTGAACTCACTAGGAGCACTCTCCTTCCTTCTCTTATAGTCCCCTATTCTCTGAGTAAGATTAAGATCAAATTTAGAATTCGTAAAAAAAAAAATCGTTTTTGAAACAGTAAATTAATTTCCCAGCTGTCACCGCCATTAATGACATCTATACTAACAATAATTGAGTATCAACCCCAACCCGAAACAACACATTAAGTTGAGGTAGAGAATAAAATTTAATTGGAGTAATGAGGCTTCGAATTTATTTTTCATATCAGATAAACAATTCAATTTTTTACTCTCCTTTTTCTTTGTCAGTTGATTATGTAGAAGATAATATGCAAGTATTTACGCTACTGCTCTTTACTCTTCATAAAGTTTTACTATGAAAAAGCAAGCAAATTTAAAGGGTTCTATTAAAACTCTGAGAAGCTTGAATACGTGTCTCGGAGATTATTGAAGTAATAGAACTGTCTGATAATATCTCATGGATTGCATTCATTTTGGACAAAGCATAAATGTATTTGTCATTTGTTTCATGCATTCGCGATACATACTTATGCATGGTTTTAAGTAAATTAGAGGGTTTTCTTTCTTTCTTTAAATATAATGTTATTTTCAGCTGATATTGTATGATTTAAATGACATTGTTTTATTCATTAATAATGCATATATAAGGTAAATAATGGTAAGAATTGTATAAAGATAGAAATTAAAATTAATGTTTGAAATCATATCCCTCGTTACTCTACTAATGATTATGTTGGCAAATAATAAGTAGTATTTCATAATTTTAAATGCAACAAAATACTCATGGTAATTTGTTTAAAATCTGAGGAACGTGATAGAAGGGATAAAATTTTATGACAGAAATTGTTATGGTTTCCGTTGCATGCTCCTCGATACGTTATTATGTCGTGGTTGATAGTGATTGGTCGTTTGACAACGAAGGATCATTTGTTGTTTATGGATGTGAAGGTCGATGGCTTCCGTCTATCGTGCACAACTGAGATAGAGATTAGAAACTATTTCTTTTTCGAGTGTGTTTTCTCGTCTGGTATTTGGATGACAGTGCTGGTCCTATATGACATTCGTCGTAGGGTATGAGAGTGGGAGCGTGAGGTGGTGTGGTCAATTTCTATGTTAAAAGGTAAGTCCCCATGCATCTTTATTCTCAAAATACTTTAGAATGTTTGTATATACTTCATTTGAGAATAACGTAATAGAAGATACTTTAGTAATATTATTAGGAACGAAGAGGACCTTAATTACTTTATTAGAGAACTTGTACAAGCGAAAATTGTTAAAAATCATAGTTAAAGTTGATCCACATATTTGTATAACGTGGGGATAGGAAAATAGATATATTTATTTTATAATTCTTTGTTGATTTGTAACAGTTTGGTGCTCATTTGGATATAATACATATATTCTATTAAAAATAATATTTTTTGTAAAAATTAGATATATAATTTTATGGAGTCATAATAGGATTTATTTATAAGTGGGGTTGTAATTTATATTTATATTTTTATATATTTTTGGATTTGTTATAATTCATACCAAAAGTTTGAATTTGAATCAAACCTAACCAACCCTAAATCAAAATTATCTTATTCAAACTCTACTTTTGAATATGTCTATTACTAATAAATTATACAATCCTTTCAATATATATACAAAATAATATTTTAATGATTACTTTCTTTTTAATCAGAGCCATTATTGTACATGCCTACTGGTATTAGGCCTGTAAATGAATGAACGTTCAGCGAACCGTTTGGTGGGAAGTTCATTTATGTTCGTTTATTTATTAAACGAATGAACATGAACAAAATTTTGTGTTCGTTTAATTAAATTAGCGAACACGAACAGATGGCTCGTTCGTTCATTTACGTTCATAAACATTTGATAATATATTTGTTCATTTATGTTTGTTCGTCTATGTTCGTTCATTTATGTTTGTTCATTTATGTTTAACTCAATCTCTCTAGACCCATTTAATATTTTAAAATTCAATTAATTATAAATACAAATAAAAAAAAGCCCATTAATGAATTTTATGTGATTATTGTTGTTGTGGTTTATGTTCATTTGTTTTGTTCATTTATGTTCGTTTACGTTCATTTCTTGTGCTCTTTTATGTTCGTTTACGTTCGTTCATTTGCGTTCGTTTATGTTCGTTCATCATTTAAATGAATGAACACGAACAAGCTACATTCCTTAACGAACGAACACGAACAATAAATGTTTTGTTCGTTTATGTTCTTATTCGTTCATTTGTTCGGTTAAAGTTAAATGATCGAACATGAATATACCCCCGTTTATGTCCGTTCGGTTTGTTTACAGGCCTACCCAGTATATATGTATATTTGAAAAAGTAATTAAAGAGATTTATAATGATAAAAGTAATTTTAAAGAAATTTAATACATAAATTGATTAGAGAAAATGTTAAAATATTGAATTTGAAACTAATCCTATATTAAGATTTAATATTAAATTCTTTCACTCAATTAATGGTAAAGTCGATAAATATAAATTCATCATAATTAGTATTGAATGATTTAAAATATAAAAACAGTACAAATATCATATTTATAATTGAAGTCGATTGAAAATTAACTTAATTGACATTGTTATGATTATAACATTTGGAAAATTGAAGATTTGAGTATGTTTAAGCTCAATTACTTTTAATTTGTATTTAAATATTTTTTGATATGATTTGGTATAAATTAAATTCAAATCAAATTTAATAAACCTAAAAGTAAAATTATCTTATACAAACTGAACCTTAAACATGTGTATTAATAATTATTTAAACTTTCTTTTTAATCAGTGTCATTATAATTGAAAATTTAATTAAAGGAAATGGGCAAGATGTAAATGTAGGAGAGAGTAAGGGGCAAAATGTGGAGAACAGCACAAATTAGAAGGTTGGATTTGAAACGGCGCGGAGTCTGTCGTTTCCCGATATCTTCACTTTAAACCTCTCATATAATTCAGATTCACAACGCCAACACCATCAGCTTCCAAATATCTTCTTCCCGTCTTTCCTTACCGTTTCCCATTTCCTTGGATTTTTTATGTTCAATTTTCTGTCCTAAAATTTCTCTTACCAAACATCCCAACCCTAGCTTTGCTGCAAGTTTTTTTTCGATGTAATAAATCTTTTTTTTTTTGTATGAAAATTCAAGTGAATTAATTAGCTTTTGCTTACTAATTGAAAGTTTTGTTTTGTTTCCTTTGGTTCATTACTTTCTAGGGAGCTAAATGGAGATATGACCAAGGAAAAATCTGCTGGCAACCCTTCTTTCTTTTTTTGTTAAATTATTTTTTTGGAAGCCAAAGAAAATCAGCTACAAGGTTCATTGTTTGTTCCTGTCGCTTTATCTGTGTTGTTAAGAGTAATCTTGTTTCTTTGGGTCTTTAAATCTTCTTTAGGTTGCTTTTTTTTCATGGTTAAAAGAAAAGAAAAAGGAAAATTAAGCTTCGTTTTGTAAATTGTAAAGCTTGTTTTCCGATGGAATAAAAATGAAATATCTTTAACAGCTTGTTTTGGGATTAAAGAGAGCTGATCTAAAGTACGCTGAAAAATATAGATATAAAGGTTTTAGCTTTATCTTTTTTTCCGGGGATTTAATTGGAGATGAGAATCGATACTGCAGTTGACATTTGTTGAGAAGCTAATATTAATATCCCACGAGCTCTAATTTGTTGGTATTTTGTTGTTGTTGCAGGTAACCGATCTGTTTAGAGCTGAAGCTAATTTCTTCAAAGTAGCTGTGGAAGATTTGCAGATCTGTTGTGTGGGTTTGGATTCTATAAAACATCTGTTTTCACTTCAACTAGTGAGGGAAACCAAAAGAAGAGAGAGAAAGAGGGGTGGAATAATCAAAATATTTGTTGTTTGTCTGAGAACTCGACTCCTCTAACACCAACCAACCAACCAACGTTTTTCAAAGTGAACATAAACCCTCTTTTTTTTCTTTGGCCTTTTGAAAAAGAGCTTTTTTTCTTCTTTGTTGGTAATTCCATAAACAGCTCTAAACTTGTTGGTAATATCAGAAACAGTAGATTTATTAATGGGGGGTTTGTCATTTAATAGTCCTTTTATTAGGATAAATAGTGCTGCTGCTGCTGGTGTCTGCCATTTTTAGGGTCAGCTGCAAAAAGAAAAAGGTTTTAAATAACTCAAGGAAGAGGAAGGAGAGGGAAAAAGGGCTGGCTTTAGATCGGTATCTAACATACAACAAGCAATTATTGCTTTCGTTTAGCTTAACTGTGAAGCAGAAAAAAAGAGGGTTTCTTTCTCGGATTCAAGGTAATATTATGGCAGCAAGGAGAGCTTTCAACTTTTGTTAAAGGCATTTATCGTTTTTGAAAAGAAGACTTTTGGTTTTGTCTTTGTAACTCTTTTCTAGCTCCTTAAGTACACATAAACAACAAAATGTCAGATATCTCTCTCATCTCTCAGCTCAAAGGTTTTAGCCCTGTAAGACTTCAGCTAGCGTGTGTGTGTTGCGATGACCAATGAGTTTGTAAAAATTCATCTTTTGGAGCATCATATAATAATTTTACCCTTTTACTAAATCCTTAACTTTTCTTTGCTTTTCTTGCAGACTGTGGCTGCCATTTTTCAGGCCATGCTTTTGAAAGCACTGAAGCTGCAAAAAGCTTAAACAAGAAGGGGGGAATGCAAGTCTCCTGACTTGGACCGTGATATATCAAAGCGTAAAGGAAGGCCTTTTTTCACTACACATAACTAAACTACCGTCTGTGTAATCGTCATCAATGCACAGGGCATCCCAGCCCCACCTTCTCTTCTTCGCTTAAACCACCATCTCTCCCGTTTCACTTTCTAACATTTCTCCAAAATCCCATATTTTCTCTCTCTTTACAAGTGAAACAAACAACAAAACAAAAGGTAATAAGGGGTTAGTGTCGGGGGAGGGAGGAATTGAGTTTGTGAGAAAGGAATGAAAGTGGAATGGAGGTGGATGGGATTCAGACACAAGCCTCTAAGTTCTCAAGAGTTGGTAGTGGTGGGAGAAATGAGTCAAGCAAGATAGGTCAGAGAGGTAGTGACAACTACCCTGATGACAAAGAAGATAGAGCTCTCATCAAAAGGGATAGTGCAAATGGCGGTGGAGTTGATGGTCTAGCTGATGTTAACAAGCTTCGAGGTTGGCACCATTCCTCGAGAATTATTAGGGTTTCTCGAGCCTCGGGTGGCAAAGATCGGCACAGCAAGGTTTGGACTTCAAAAGGGTTGAGAGACAGGAGGATAAGGTTATCTGTCACCACAGCTATACAGTTTTATGATCTACAGGATCGATTGGGGTATGATCAGCCTAGTAAAGCAATAGAGTGGCTAATTAAAGCAGCTGCTGATGCAATTTCAGAGCTTCCTTCACTTAACACATCATTTCCTGATTCTCCAATGCAATTAAGTGGTGAGAAAAGAACAAGTGGGGGAACTGAACAAGGGTTTGACTCAGCTGATGTCGAGTTAAATGGTGAACCAAATAATTACCAACAAAACCAAACTCAGCAGCACCTTTCTTTGTCCAAATCAGCTTGCAGTAGCACGTCTGAGACGAGTAAGAACTCTGGTTTATCCCTTTCGAGGTCCGAGATCCGTGTTAAGGCTCGGGAACGGGCAAGGGAAAGAGCAGCAAAAGAAAAGGAGAAAGAGAAAGAGTCTCGCATTCCAGATCCACAAAATGTGAACCCCGTTTCTCAAAACTCTTCCTTCACCGAGTTGCTCACGTGTGGCATTGGCAGTGTTAGCAACACTGACACTAATCCTACAGCTTCAGCTCATCAAAACCCCAGGCAGTGGCCTGTCACTCAAATGGATTACTTCACAACGGGGCTCCTTGGACCTTCTTCTTCTTCTTCCTCTAGAAACCATTCTCCAGGTTTTCCTGGACAAATCCAACTAGGAAACCCTTTGCCCCAACAAATACTAATACCGCAGTTCACCGTGTCGGGTGAAAACCATCAAGAGTTGCATCATTTTTCGTTCGTTCCTAATACTGAACATCTGATACCGGTGGCAACAACACCAGTGGTGCCAGGGGGTGACTACAACCTCAATTTCACCATCTCTTCCGGCCTTGCTGGTTACAATAGGGGGACCCTTCAGTCCAATTCTCCTTCCTTTTTGCCTCATCACTTCCAGAGGTTTTCTTCTATAGAAGGATCACCACCCTTCTACATTGGCACACCACCAGTGGACAACCATCACCACCATCAGTTCCCAGCTGGATTAGAAGGCCGCTTGCAGCTCTGCTACGGGGATGGAAGCAGGATCTCAGATCAGAAAGGAAAAGAAAAGAACTAACCAGTTTACTGGAAAAGTTCCCTCTTGCCCCGTATTTTTTCCCTGGTAAGCTCAACAGTCAACACCCTCATTGAATCGAAGTTCTTTACGATTACTAGCATTTGACATTCAAAACTATCTTCCTTGCTTTAGTTTTCCTTAATTAGCTTCAATATTTTTGTGCCTGTTTAACTATTTTTTTGAGGCATACTTTTTGGATAAACGTGTTGCGTTGTGTTGTGCTTGTGCATAAAATATAGTACCAAGAAACAGTCAATTTCTTGGTTTCTAAAAAGAAATCCGGCATTCGGGACAAGCTTATATTGTGTTTTGTCAGGGTAGTTCTGCGGTGCGGCGCCTAAAAAACGGCTAATATACGGCGTGACCGGTAAAACAAGTGATCGGTTAAAATTTAGACCGGTTATGTTATATTATTTAACCGAAAATATTATAAAGTACAATAACATACTAGGTAGCGCTTATATAATGTAATAGGTAGGCTTATATTTACCTATTTTATAAGTAAACCGGTATATTTATACCGATAGCATTGCAAATTTACCTATTACATTATAATATGTTGAAAGTGTCCATACTTTTTATAAAAAGGATCGATAATTTTTTTAAAGTTATGTAATTTATGTTTCAATTTTTTTTAATAGTGTTTCATGTTTTTCACCTACAATATTAATTTAATAATTTCATTTACACAAAAAATTATTTGATTGTTTTGATATTTTATAAAATAATATTTAGAATTTAAATTTAACAATATTAACCAAAGATAATAATAAATATGTAATATATATGTTATTGTTTTTAATTTAATAATAATATATATCGTAACGTAAAATAAATCATTAGACGCCTATAATTACTAAATTAATATCTTAAAACTCACTCAAAAGATAACCTTAAATTAATATTTTCCACAGTGAAAAAAGTATGGACACTTTTATAAAAAGGATAGATACTTTACAACTACCTATTACATTATATAAACGATACCTATTACATTATATAAGAGCTACCTATTAGATCATATTTTTACCTATTATATTGAAAGTGTCCATACTTTTTATAAATAGGATCGATAATTTTTTTAAAGTTATGTAATTTATGTTTCAATTTTTTTAATAGTGTTTCATGTTTTCCACCTACAATATTAATTTAATAATTTCATTTACACAAAAAATTATTTGATTGTTTTGATATTTTATAAAATAATATTTAGAATTTAAATTTAACAATATTAATCAAAGATAATAATAAATATGTAATATATTTTTATTATTTTTAATTTAATAATATATATCGTAACGTAAAAAATAAATCATTAGACGCCTATAATTACTAAATTAATATCTTAAAACTCACTCAAAAGATAACCTTAAATTAATGTTTTCCACAATGAAAAAAGTATGGACACTTTTATAAAAAGGATAGATACTTTACAACTACCTATTACATTATATAAATGATACCTATTACATTATATAAGCGCTACCTATTACATCATATTTTTACCTATTATATTGAAAGTGTCCATACTTTTTATAAAAAGGATCGACACTTTTTTTAAAGTTATGTAATTTATATTTCAATTTTTTTTAATAGTGTTTTATGTTTTCCACCTACAATATTAATTTAATAATTTCATTTACACAAAAAATTATTTGATTGTTTTGATATTTATAAAATAATATTTAGAATTTAAATTTAACAATATTAACCAAAGATAATAATAAATATGTAATATATATGTTTATTGTTTTTAATATAATAATAATATATATCGTAACGTAAAAAATAAATCATTAGACGCCTATACTTTACAACTACCTATTACATTATATAAACGATACCTATTACATTATATAAGCGCTACCTATTACATCATATTTTTACCTATTATATTGAAAGTGTCCATACTTTTTATAAAAAGGATCGACACTTTTTTTAAAGTTATGTAATTTATGTTTCAAAATTTTTTAATAGTGTTTTATGTTTTCCACCTACAATATTAATTTAATAATTTCATTTACACAAAAAATTATTTGATTGTTTTGATATTTTATAAAATAATATTTAGAATTTAAATTTAACAATATTAACCAAAGATAATAATAAATATGTAATATATATGTTTATTGTTTTTAATTTAATAATATATATATCGTAACGTAAAAAATAAATCATTAGACGCCTATAATTACTAAATTAATATCTTAAAACTCACTCAAAAGATAACCTTAAATTAATTTTCCACAATGAAAAAAGTATGGACACTTTTATAAAAAGGATAGATACTTTACAACTACCTATTACATTATATAAATGATACCTATTACATTATATAAGCGCTACCTATTACATCATATTTTTACCTATTATATTGAAAGTGTTCATACTTTTTATAAAAAGGATCGACACTTTTTTTAAAGTTATGTAATTTATGTTTCAAATTTTTTTAATAGTGTTTTATGTTTTCCACCTACAATATTAATTAATAATTTCATTACACAAAAAATTATTTGATTGTTTTGATATTTTATAAAATAATATTTAGAATTTAAATTTAACAATATTAACCAAAGATAATAATAAATATGTAATATATATGTTTATTGTTTTTAATTTAATAATAATATATATCGTAATGTAAAAAATAAATCATTAGACGCCTATAATTACTAAATTAATATCTTAAAACTCACTCAAAAGATAACCTTAAATTAATGTTTTCCACAATGAAAAAAGTATGGACACTTTTATAAAAAGGATAGATATTTTACAACTACCTATTACATTATATAAACGATACCTATTACATTATATAAGCGCTACCTATTACATCATATTTTTACCTATTATATTGAAAGTGTCCATACTTTTTATAAAAAGGATCGACACTTTTTTTAAAGTTATGTAATTTATGTTTCAATTTTTTTAATAGTGTTTTATGTTTTCCACCTACAATATTAATTTAATAATTTCATTTACACAAAAAATTATTTGATTGTTTTGATATTTTATAAAATAATATTTAGAATTTAAATTTAACAATATTAACCAAAGATAATAATAAATATGTAATATATATGTTTATTGTTTTTAATTTAATAATAATATATATCGTAACGTAAAAAATAAATTATTAGACGCCTATAATTACTAAATTAATATCTTAAAACTCACTCAAAAGATAACCTTAAATTAATGTTTTCCACAATGAAAAAAGTATGGACACTTTTATAAAAAGGATAGATATTTTTTTTAAAGTTATGTAATTTATGTTTCAATTTTTTTTAATAGTGTTTCATGTTTTCCACATACAATATTAATTTAATAATTTCATTTACACACAAAATTATTTGATTGTTTTGATATTTTATAAAATATTATTTAGAATTTAAATTTAACAATATTAACCAAAGATAATAATAAATATATTTTCACAGTGAAATAAGTATGGACACTTTTATAAAAAGGATAGATACTTTATAATATAACAAGTAAAAATATGACAAAACCAGATTCATTATGATAAAACCGGTAAAATTTACTTGATATGTTAAAAGTATGGACACTTTTATAAAAAGGATAGATACTTACCGATAACCAAAGTTTACCGGTTACCAAATTTTTTAATAGGTTTTCATATTTTCTACCTAAAACATTATTAGTTGTCAACATAATAGGTACCGCTAAACCGAATTTATTAAATACATTTTAATGTATCCGGTATTGCCGTATATTAGCCGTGTATTAACCCGCCTTTCCTGAGACAATCCCGTTTTGTCATGATTCCTGCATAGGTTTTTGTGACTAAGGATCGGCTGGTTGTCTCATTGTCTGTTCCCTTCTCCCTGACATATATGAACCAATGCCAGGTGTTAGTTTCTTGGTGGCCAAGCCTTGCTGGGCACTGAGTTAGAACAATAAAAGTTCACATTTCAAATAGGGTGTGACCTTGTAAACCTTAACTTCACCACATGGCAATGGATCATCTAGACTGTCAGGTTTTTGATTAGTTAAAGTTTCTAGATGATTAACGGTAAACTAGATCTGAAAAAAGATAAAAAGGGGAAATCTCCATGCACATAAGACCTCGAGCTCTCAAACTTCAAGATCAGCGGTTGCTTCCATGGTAAGTGTTTTTTCTAGGTTTAGCCAGGATGAAGCTAGGTTTTAATAGAATTTATATATATTATTGAAATTGAGCTGTCACTGTTCTTACAGTGAAAAATGCTAAGACAAAAATCATTAAAGCATTGAGATTAAAAAGATCTATTGTCAAATCAAAGCCAATAATGACAAAAGAAAAATCATTGATAAAAACTAATTACCAAACGTTCATAAATATTATAAATACATGACAACAATCATAAGTTTCATATTAGAAAGTCAAATCTCAGTAATAAAGAAGAAAGAACCTTTCTAAATTGGCTTGTAGTAGAACTTGGGGAACTCGGCACTTCCACAATTGATAAAAAAAAATTGGAAAGTTAAATGTTTGAGTTTTTGTGATTATTAACATAGAAATTTAAGTTTTGTGAGTTATTTTTATTTAAAAATCTGAATATACCATTATGTAAAATGCATCCAAGTCTCATCAAATATTTATATCGAATATATGTCTTCATATGAAATTTAATCTTACATTTTATTAGGTATATGTGTTTCTATGAGATTTAATCTTTTCACATATATGAATTGTTTAAAAAAAAGATAAGTATAATTATGTTGGACCATATTCATATTAAATGTTTATTTTAAATTTGAGATACATAATTTATTATAGATCATTTGTAGACTTTCTTTACGATATCATATCACTAAAGATTTAAGGGTACATTGTAGGAATAAAATGTAAAATACTACCTGTACTAGTATCAAGTTTATGGATAAGAGAAATGAGTATGGTGATGGAATGATAGTTAAGATGGTTTAGCTATTACTGCTTATTTCTACAGCATACCCTTAGTTCCCATAAGTTAATAGCATTAAAACAACTCAATGCACTCCTCTTTATATGGGATGTCATAAAATAACTATGCAAGTAAACAATGGGATAAAAGCATTTTGAAAAGAAAAAAAAAGAGTAAAAAAGGTCAAGCTTTTTACTTAAAAATATTTATTCAGCCCTATAAATAAAATATTTATGCTGATGAATACTTTAAATTGCTGCCTCCATTTGCTCTCTTTATTCAAGAAAGAAAGGTAGCTACTTTTGAGAACACATTCAGCTCAATGTTGGTGACTTTATAAGGGCAACATAGAGTTCTAGGTAGGGTTTATTTTTCTTAAAGAAAAATAATGATGCTTTAAATTGAGATTAGATCTTAAGATTATAGATTTAGACTTGCTGTTTATTGTAAGGAAAAAGAAAGGAAGTGATGTTTTCTTTCGGTCTCAAGGCATTTTTTTGTTGTGTCTTGTTGTTCTTCTAAAGGTTTTAAGTAATATCTTTCAATTAAAGAAATGTTATAGGTGAAGCTAGTATGTGTAGCATTACATTTAGGTATGGAAAGCTAAACTTCTTGAGAAAGAAGAGGGGCATTATTTGTAGATTTTACAAATTAAAAAGTTTACAACCTACTTAATTTATTATCATCTCTCACTACTAATTAAAGTTCAAAGTCATTTTTGATTGTCTGAGCAAAGATTTAAAGATTCAAAGTCATTATTTGAGTTTTAAAATAGGTTGTCATAACATAAAGAAGAATTAGCATAAATTTAAGTTTGAAGTTAGCAAGATAAGTAAAATCTCCAGAAAAATATAATACCTATTCAAAATAAGCCATAATTTTTTTCTTTGTTCAATTTAAATTGTGGGAGTAGTTAAAAATTACCAAGTGCAATTAATTTATTGCTAAAACATGAAGAATAACTAACACTTATATCAAACGTAGCATTAGTGATGTACGTTAACGGGACATGCTGCTTGAATGAAACTGTGCCAAATCTTTGTGAATTACCATTATACCATTCGAAATGGAACCATCTTATTTCAGCTTATCATTCAAGTATTGTTTGCTGTTGGCACCATCACCATGTTTTTGATGATGAAACTTGTGCAGAAACACCATGCAGTTCCTTCATGTTTCCTGTTAATTTCAACCGTATATGCTAATTTTTTGAGCAAATATTTTTGGATGTAGAAAAGAGAAGGAAGCAGTGAGTGAATGCCTTTCCCTTCCTGCATTGGATGATGGATACCTTTATTGTTTGTGCTTCTGATAATTGTTAGTATTTATGATTTATCCATTTTGAAGTCATGATTCTGCTGGCTTCGGCGTATTGGGATATAATTTATCTATGCCTGCAAAAAGCCTTGTGTGTTTCCAACAAGTATAACTAAACATAATTTGATTGAAGTTAATTATTTTCTTTTCATCCATCTTACAATGTCCTGAAAACTCTCTCTCTCTCTCTCTCTCTCTCTCTGTGTGTGTATATATATATATATACCTGCTTGGTAAGGCCAAAAACCTTGTTCATCATTTGCGTCTTCACAACATCAACCCTCATTTCTTTGTGGCAAAATTAAATGACAGGACAGCTCCCATGTGTTCTATTGCACAGCTTACGTATGCTTTCAGAAAAAAAAAAATTGATGGTTTTAAATGTGTATAAAAGCAGTTTGCATGCTGAGTTTTTGCCTTCGAATTGTAAGCCAGTCGATCTTAGGCATGTGTTAATGGACTCTGCTGCATATTAGTTTTAAGCTTCCGATGAGGTTATGAAAGGTTGGTTAATTATTTAATATATGCATTGGACCTAGGTGGATTAACTTGTGCTAATCTCGGAGCGAGGGCACTGATCCTGTTTAAATTTGTTGAATTTTTTAAAATTTTAGTTCAATAAAACAATAAAATTATATGTTGACGTTTAAATTTTATTTATAACATCTCTTCTAAAAATTATAATATATAAAAAAATAACGCTTAAAAATATTTTATTTAACTTGCGCAACTTTGTTTTGGAGCTTCTATCAATCATTGCAGCTATAGAATTTCATGTTAGTCTCACTGACCTCTGCCTCGATTGTCCTAGTATTTCATGATCTAAATTCCTTCAATTTTTTGCTCCCTCCCGTGCTTCTGCCCAAAGGGACAGGTAATTTAATCAATTTGTCAAACTAGTAATAATAGATTTTACTTTACTAAAGACACTTCATTATTCAATTTGGGAAAGGAAATGTACAAAACTTGACTGATTTGGCATGCAAGAAAATAATTAAGAGGTTGGATTTTATTTTGTAACCCATATATGAATTACTGTTAGATTTTATTTTAATTTAAATTTTATTCCGTGTCTTATATTAATTTGTTGTATCTTACAAGGATTGTTTTTTATTATTGTTGATGAACAAAGTAAAAATTAGTAACTCATGACGATTCATGAGTAATTGATTTAGATAAGAAGTCATGTATGATAGAAATGATATTGAGCTCGACAGCTATGAAAGGGAAAAAATAATTTAAGGAACAAAATGATTGAGAGAATTTTGCCTAGAAGGGTTTTTATCCCTTTAAATTAAATGGTAGGCTCCTAAATATGAAAATGTGTCTCCCAATAAATCTCACTAATATTATTTATTGTTATATATTATAGATAAAATAATTAAAATCTATTTGGATATGAATTATTTATAATTATTATTGAATTGTAGTTAAAAAATTGTGGTGGTGAGTAAGAGATTACCTTTCAATATTAACGATTCAAGTCATAATGTTGATGTTGTTGTGTGTAGGTGTGTCCGTCTGTATTAGAGATAAAATGAGGTTTGGATTAGTGGGTCATCAAAGAAAATTTAAGAGAATATTGAATGAATTGTTTTGGTCTTAGTGCGATATAATGATGGATTTCCATTTTCCACCACTATACCAACTGCTTTACAAATCACAAGCATTGCCGGGTTAAATATTAGCATGTGGGTCACATTATTCTGGATCTGCTCCTCATATTTTTAATTTTCCCATCTTCCATCTTTATAGATATATAGATTAAAGCCGAACATAACCTCTTCTTTGTCAACTCTGTTAAGGCAGGCTTCTGTTATATAGAACTGCTGTGGCTGATTGCAAGAATCCATACTTCATTCACGTGGATTGCAAGCTATTGACATAAACCCTCATGTGATAAACAGATGAAGAAACAGAAACAGCTAACTAATAATTGTTGAACCATAAAAAACTGGGGGGAGGGGAAGATTCTACAAAATAGAAATGGGCAATCAACCAAAATCATAAAAACAGGTCGTGAACGGCAACTGATCATTTAGATACAGCTTTACACCCGCAACCTTTACTGCTAAATGCCACATCAAAGCCATCCAACAACATTGAATGAAGTATATATATATATATATATATACATACATATTCATGATGTCTCTTTCTTTCTCTCGTGTATGATAAGGAAAATGTGGAAGAGTGCTAATCTCATTATCATGCTTGGAAACCAAAAATGGAAAAACAAAGTATCACAAGCTCAATGGTTGCCCACTCGTAATATCCAAATGATAATGAGAAAACTAAAAAACTCATATTACCACGCTTGGATGGAACAATCATCTTGTTTTCTGGGTAACTTAGCCAATTCAGGAACATCCAAAAGATAAAATTCAGACGGAGGACTTTATCTGTGCTCATCTGCTGCTTCCAAGTTACAACTATAGACAGAGAATGATAGAAGCAAGTAGAGATGATATTACCATAGATCATGCTGCTATAAGTTAAATTAGCAAATTAGGCTTCAGTAAACTTCATTGAAACTACCAAAAAGCATAATCGGATCAACAGGACAAGCATACAGTACATCTTCTACACTTTTTCTTCTCTTCTTTTTTTTTAATGAAGTACATTGAATTTGCGTAAGAAGTAGAACTAATGCAATAACAAACCCAGCAACTAACTATGAGTTCTGACCGCTACATGCCTCCAAAATCTGGTTCAACAAACAGTTCAAAGAATTTGCAAAGATAAACCTATAAAATAATCATGAAGGGGGTTTTTAACAAGGCCTCCTCTTCTTATCAAAAAAAAAAAATAAACCTATAAAATATTCATGAAATTTTGACAAGGACTACAGTCAATTTATGGAAGAAACTTGAAAAGCTAAGTGCGAACTACATTTTATTGATAAAATTCACATGTATATAACATAAAGTTTGCCATCTTCATACGTACAATATTCACATATAGAGAAATTTTAGATAAAAGAATAAAAGACTACAAACTGAAAGCTATTACAACATTAATATGAATATGCCTGAAAATTAAAACAACCAGCAGATGCATTTTGATTACCAGTCAAAGCACAAAAGCTCAAGCGCTTGAAGTGCGTTATCAAAAAGCAGGGACAACGGTCACTGGCGTTCCAAAGCAAGGTTTAGCTTTCATAGGACACTGCCCCTAGATTAAGCAACAATACGTAACAAAATTGTGGTCCTATCATCAGCTTTAAAAAAAGCTATCACTTGTACCCCCTAGACCGTTGGTGCATCTTTCCCTGAAAATTGCAAAATGGATTTCAAATTCATAAGAGATGAATAAATAAAAAGGTGATGCAAGCATATCAAAAACTAAAAAAACAGAATGAACTCAGAGCATGCTAATTTTGAGACACCACATGCATTCCGTGATGTTTCCTTGCTCACAAAATTCACGCAAGGCTGCTCACAACTCAAATGGTCAAAAAGGGAATAAGTGAATGCCAACTAACAGATTAAAACACTCTCTCATATGGACATGAACAATTCGAACATCAAATAGTTTTCTAGTAAATTAATCAACATATTCAAGTAAATCCAACAAATAAGAACTTTTACCTGCACAGAACATGAAGCGGACATCAGAACGAGTTCATCTCCAGACAGTAAGTCCTTCTCTTAACCAGCATCTTAGCTGCAGTACCATAAGGTTCTTCAAAAGCAGTTGATAACCAAGAAGCATCCGAAATCTTTTTCGAAGCAGATTGTTCACTAGGCCTAATAGCAACCAGAGTAGCGCCTTTTAAAACAGCCCCATCAGGCAACTCCAAATGAGGAGCATACCAAAGTCTCATATTCAACGCTGGCACCAGCGTCCTTTTTGAAGCAGAAGAAGCCGATAATGGCTTCACTCTTAATTCCTCAAGCTGCTCACCGTTCATACAAAGCACCCCTTGTCCATCCGCATCGGTTAAAACCAAGCTATCCAGCGTCTTATGCTCCGCAATTATAGATTGCAGCAAATAATGCCTTGCTGACGCTGCGATCAACGAGCTAATAGTCCAAACAACCCTTAATTTCAAGCCTCCGTTGGTATAAAATGACTCGGGGATACTACCATTATCATCGCCGTTGTAGATGTTATAATCGATGCCGAATCCGTCGTTCCCATGCTCCGATACTTGCAAATGCACATTGTTTAAAACGGAAGCAGCTCCGAGGATGACGCAATTATCAAGGGTTGATCCGAAATCGGCTCTCCATTTCAGCATAACTCCGTCGTCGATCCCTAACTCGCCGCCGGGTAATTCAATTTGGAGGAAACGAAGCTCGTTGAAATTTCGAAGCACTTGCGTCGGAGAATGATGGGTAACCCCACCTTGGTCCATTTCCCCATCATCACCACCACCGAGACCGACAGATAAAGAGGAAGATGAAGAGGTAGTAAGCGTTTTGTTGAGAGAGCGGCGTTCGGGGCCGAAAAATTGGCCCAAAGCTTGGAGGGGCTTGACAATGCCACCGAAAACGAGACGGAAGAGGTTGGTAAAGGGACCGAAGACACGTGATTTGACCGAGGAAGAAGCGGAAGAATCGTCGTCGGAGATGACGCAATCAACACGAACGACGACATTTTCAACTTGAGGGACAAGGGCGTGGAAACGACGCGAGACGACGCAGCAGCGGCCGAGGGCTTTAACGTCGCCGATCATATTGAAGACTAAAAGGAGAAGAGAGTCGGGGAGACGGTCGAAGTGATCGATAGGTTCCGGGCGCTTTCCATGGATTGGATCTGAACAAAACGAAGACATCTGTTTAATTTCTGTTAAGTATCTGGCCAACGGCACTCTTTAAGAAAATATTAGATCTACTCCATAGGGGGAACTGGGTTTTAAGGGAAGGGAAAGGTCGATGGATTTGGAAATTTAAGAAATTTGGGGCGAAAGGTGTGATGTCGTTGTTTGTAAGTTGAGAATTGAGATGGGGTGGAAAGAGCGCTGGGAAAACAATATTTTGGGATCAGATAGATTTTAGGGTTAATAACTTTTTGCCCCTTGTCTTTGGCTTCATATGCAATTTAACCCTTGACTTCTTTTACTATTTAACCTCTGATTTTGGCTTCAACTGTAATTTGGCTCTTTACTTTTTCTTTCAATTTAATCCCTGACATTTTAATATAAATTGAAACTTAATTAAACATTATACATATTTAATATCTAAAATTTTAAAATAACATTTACATTAATATCATCAATATCAATAATCTAAATTTTATAATATTATTTATCGAATATCAATAATTTTTTGCGCTCACTTGTAAATAGGGATGACAAACGGGCGGGTCGGGTGCGGATATCTCCTCCTCCATCCCCATACCCACCTAATATTTTTAAATCCACTACCCGCCCACCACCTATGAAGGGTAAAATTTTCAAATCCACACCCGCCCACGTGGGTACATTCTCAAATCGATCCCCACACCTACTACCCAACTGGAGACGTACCCGGCTAAACCCGCATGACAACAACCTTAAGTTATACATAAGCAACAAACATAAAACAAACATGTCCATTAAGAAACATAATAAAATAAACCAAGAATTATCTGAGTTAAGTGTTAACATAGATCTTAAAGTACATAAAACACCATAATAAAAGACATAATTAAAGCTTGGAAACATAAATGACAAACACATAATATTTTTGTTCTTCGGCACATAAATGACAAACCCTAAAATTATACTTAAATTTATAATGATCTAAAATTTAATGGGTATTTAGTGGGCGCGCGGATGCGAGGCGGGTAAGGTGTCAAACTCATCATCCGCTCACTACCCGCGATGGGTATCACTTTCTAAATTCACACCCGCCCACTACCCACTAAAGTTATACCCATCCCCGTCCCAATTTAAACAAATACGGTGCGGAATCCACGAAATTATACCCGTTTATCATCCTACTTGTAAAATATACTAATAATACAAAATTTCATTATATCCACGGGTTAGGTTTCGATATTGTATTCTGAATTCCATATTTAAAAAATCCATGCAAACCCAACAATCTCACGAGGCCATGATATGATTAACAAAGAGAAAACTTGAATAATAGATGTACAGTCAATTTAAAAGTATAAACATTAATGTTGCATTAGGTAGATCAATTCAAAATGTTTTCAATGTCACATTGTAATTTAATCAAATACATATTTAGTTTGCAGATCTATCAACCAACTTTTTGGTTAAATACTTTCTCAACAAATTATATATTATATAAATAAATAGATTTTATTACTTATCTTTGTATTATATATAAGTTGGGATTTAATTATTATACCTATTATTAATTTTAACTTTAATTTTTTAAATACTTTTAAATTTTACAATTTCAATCATAAATCAAACAATATAAAGATTATATAAACTGATTACAAGGTTTAAAATAATCAAATCAAATAATAATATTTAAATTCATAACTTATGATAATACGTGGACTAATAATAAAATTAGCTGACCCTATTCCCATATGTAATGGGGTAAGGGGGAGGTAGGGTAGTAGGCTGCCCTCAACGCTAGGTTGAGAGCAACTTCCATAGAAGACCTCCGGCAATTATGAATTGCCCACCGTAGGACTTGATCCCACAACCACAAGGTTAAGAGCCTTGCGCTCTAGCAACTGAGCTGTACATGCGATTCAATGTAGACTAATAATAAGTTTAACTTAATATATTTTTACTATTACTTGACTCGTGATTTCAATTTTAAAATTACATTCACAAAAAATAAAAATAACTAAATTAAATATACCGACTAAATTCAAAACTTTGACATAACAAATAAAAAAATTTAACCTTAAAAACATAACCAAGCTCACATAAATAAAATTTAATGGAAATGAACAATTAAAGAGTTATACATTTCAATATTATTGTCTTTATTATTTAAAATTACATTCACATAAAATAAAAATAACTAAATTAAAATATACTGACTAAATTCAAAACTTTTACATAAAAAAATTAACCTTAAAAACATAAAAAAATTAACCTTAAAAACATAAACAAGCTCACATGAATAAAATTTAATGGCAATGAACAATTAAAGAGTTAAACATTCCAATATTATTGTCTTTATTATTTGTACAAATTTCAAATCAATCTAATATATCTATTATATCGAACCAAAATAATTTCTTTATTAATATATATTTAATAATTAAAGAGCTTTTATATATAAAAAAAAGTAGTTAGATATTTTTAATTTACTTAAAAAATTAACGTACATGGTTAACCTCCTATAAAGCAAATTGTTAAAAGTTCTCGTTTGACAAATTTCCTTTCTCTTAGGTTGTAAGTTTAATATTTATTAGAATCAAAATTTCTTTTCTTCGTCACCTAAGTAGAATTTGTTAAAAAAATTTACATACAGTAAATACAATATAAAATTCAATCATTCAAATTTTCATATATTAATTATTAAAAAATTACAAATATTAATTTTTTATTGATGTGTGTATATATATATATATATCACGTATATTAAAACTCAATTAATCAGGGGTAAGAATAAGATAATATATGCTCAAATATAACTTTTACCACTTGACATTGAATGCTCATACTTATGATATTCCTAGTGTTTGACCCGGAACTTTAAAAAATAACAACAATTTTTTTACCATAAAGATCGAGCGATTTGTGCAATTCACATCTCATGTATTCAGTATTCTCTTGTAATGGGTTTAATGTGACTATGGATGATTAATTAGATAATTATTTCACCAACTCTGCTATTTTTCTTAGAAAAAAAAAAGAAATGCATGTTTATTTTGCTCCAATAAGTAATGTTGCTTTACTTAACAAAAAGTAAAGTTTATGATAAACTTCCTTAATCCAAACGCATGGAGAAAGGAAGACATGAGAAAATGAATTAGGTTTGGTATTGGTTGTTTCTTCAATATGTTCTTTAGCAAGCCTCTTCAACCTTCAAACCGCAACTACACATGATTAAAGTAGGAATTAAATAACCCAAATTAATGCTTTTGTAAGTTAGTGAAATGCATCTTTACATATATGTTATCAACATTAATGATGCATGCACGTACCTAATTTATATAGCTTTCTACAATATCGATAAATATTTTAATTATTTTAACGTCATATTTTATATTTATTTATACATTTCGAATCTAATCTTATATTTGTAAGATTTTGTTCAACGTATAAATTTAATAATATAAAATTGTCCCAACTACACTCTCATATAACTATAATCACATAACTATTTCACTAAATTTTTTAATCTCATAAAATAATGTTTTTTAATTTAATTCACTGAAATTTTATAAAATAAATATAATATTAAAATTATATTTTAACCTCTTTAATTATTTAATCTACGTTGCCTCCATTTTTTTAAAACTTCGTCCGTGCTTGTATTTGTATATGAGTTGTTGTGATTAGGATAAAATTTTTCAGAACATATTCTGAATTAATCTTCATTATATTCAAATAAACAACGTTGAAATGTATCAATGAATTTCATGAGAAGTTTATCCATGTTTCCATAATCATTTATTCTCATTAAATAATAAAAGTGGATCACATTAGGTTTCATTGTTGTGTTTCCTTGCTTAATATGGAAATTCTATTCAATTAACCACATATCAAACCATTATATTAACTGCATGTAATTCCTTCACAAGTTGCACAAAAATAAATAAAAGATGGTAATCCAAAATTTAATAAGTCAAATTAAATGATGTAAATGATAATTGATTACTCATAATTTTTTAATAAACTCCTTAATCTATTTTAACCACTCATCATTATATTTAGTACTTTTTTTCTATTTTGTACCTAAACTTTTATTTTTGTTCAAAATCATATATAACGTTTAGTTTAGGTTTCAATTTGATACTCAGCCATTAAAAAATTAACAGAATTGGTGACGTGATTTTTTAAAAAATTTCAATGATGACATGTCAGCATCACCAATAGTTTTTTTAACTGTAGGGTACCAAACTGAAACCTAAACTAAACGTTAGGTATAATTTTGAGAAAAAAATAAAGTTTAAGTACTGAAAAGAAACAAAAGTGATGGTTTGAGTACTAAAAATGTAGTTTACCCTTATGTTTAATTGGTCAACTATCTCGCTGGAATGTAAAATGGCCTTAAATCTCCAAACGGGGCTTTAAGTTAAGAATAGACCAACCCAATCATCAAAAACCATTAATTTACCTATCCTTTACTAACATAACCTGCTTCGAGTGGCTCAAACAACCTCATAAACATGATTTAAGTCACTGATTAATAAGGTTGGAAATCACACTTCAACTCTGAAACCTTTACACTGATTAGGGACGATTTTAATAAAGTTATTGATGATATGCTATGGTTTTGCTGTTTTGGTGATAACTTTGGAAGATTATCTTAATTTTGATAAAGTGTGGTACCCACTTAGCATAATTGTTCTGAATGACCATGATAGGTTATTAGGTAAATGATGTACATCGTGCATTTTCCTATAATTAATGGTCCCAATCTAATATTAATAATTTGATAATGACAAGAGAGATGTTGTATACTTCACTTGAAGCCAAATTAAAAGAGATGAAAACATATCAAAATCATTTATTTATATATAAAATATATTAATAGGTTATCGATCTTATAGAGTTTTCCTAGAGATAAGATGAACTAAGTAAGACAATATTGCTACTTAAGAGTTGATGACCTAGTCTTCTTTGAGCTGCAATTTGAAGCCATCTAGTAGTTCTAGAAGAATTTATATTTAAATATTTAAAACTAAAATTATAAGTTCTTTCGAAAGATCTTTTGTATTATTAAAATTTTAAAAGGGTTAATTCAAATTTAAATATTAAAAGAGAGGTTACAAGTAAATATTTTAGAATGTTTTTAATTGTAATTTGATGAGAAAATAAAGTTTACCTAATCAAAATTCTAAAGAAGAAGAATTACTATT